CTCAGTCCATCAAAACTGTATGTAATGTGTCCTTTAGAAAATAAGTGAGAAAAAGAGAACTTCAAATTTGTGACATGTGTATGAAAAGCCCTTACACACAGAAAATCTTATTTAATGCAGAGAATACTGAAGTGATAAAATGTGGCTGTCACATTTTGTAACAGCTTTACAATTCTAAAATAGCAAAACTGCAAGACAAAGACAGAATCTTAAAGGCAGCAAGGGAGAAACAGGAAGTAACATACAAGGAAGCCCCGATAAGGTTAGCAGCTGACTTCTCAATGGAAACACTCCAAGCCAGAAGACAATGGCCAGAAATATTCCACGTAATGAGAACCAGAAGCCTGCAACAGCTTTACAATTCTGTAGTTTATTAACTGTTACTAAGAAAACTTTAAAAAGTAAATAAGCCTTGGCTGGGTGGCTCAGTCGGTTGGAGTGTCATCCTGTAAACCAAAAAATTGAGGGTTCGATCCCCCATTGGGCCATGTAAGGATGGCAACCAATCAATGTTTCTCACACAGATGTTTCTCTTTCTCTCCCCCTTCCTTTATCTCTAAAAACAATGAAAAGGTGTCCTCAGGAGAGGATTTAAAAAAAGTCAATGTAAAGTATATGAAAACACAGTAGGAGTGCTTACTATATACTAGGCACTATTAGGCTTTTTCACACAGATGAGCTCCAGGCCTTTCAATAATTCCAGGGGAAGACACTATTACCTCATTTCCTAGAAACCAAGGTTTAGTCACCTCCTCAAAAAAGGCTGAAATTTGGTCTGAGGTTGACCTGGGCCACACTCTCCCTTCTGTGCCAAGGGCGCTTCTGCCTGTAAACATAACCACATTCCTGGGCTGGGACCCAAGTGTCTTGAGATGATTAGAAAATTTATTAGCCTTTCTTGATTCCTAAAGTTTTAATATGCTTAATATTATTTGTTTAGTGAGGGAAAGGAGCCTAACAAACTACTTCATCTGTGGCTCCTTCCAGGCCTGATTTCAGTCCTGGGTTCACAGTGAAAATTCTTTACGAAGGGGAAGAAGGGGTGTGCGGGAGAGTTGAGTAGTTCAGTTGTTCCCTAGAGAAAAAAAATCAGCACAACTTTTAGACCTTGCTGGGATGAGGTCAAGAGTGTTTCCAAGGCCTTCAAGATACACATACTTTTTGGCTTAGGAATTCCACTGCTGGGAACTTTTCCTTAGGAAATACGACCATATGTAAAGAAATTAGAGCAAATTGATAAGAGAAACTCTAAGTCCTGAGAGAGCAGGAAGTGTAACTATAGCAGCAACATACACAAAGGGGTAAATTACCAGCAACCCGTTTCCAACCCTAGAAGGCTGGCAAAGTAAATGAGGACACAGACACATACCTTAAAGATGAAACTGAGGGATTTATTTATGGATATGGGAAGACATTTATGATATATTAGTATAAAAACAAACTTCAAAATAGTGTTAACAGTATGATACCATTGCATGAAAACATCTTTATCTTTTTTACAGATCTATACAGATCTCTGCAGAGAAAAAAAATGGATAGTTTTATACCCTTTTTAGAAGTATATCTAGGAAAGGGAAATACAAACATTCAAAGAAAAACCATTGTTTTCTAATCTTCAAGGAATATGCACTACCTGCATAATTACAAAAAGTGCTTAAAACATGAGTGTTTCTAAAGAAAAAAAAAAACCTAAGAGCAGTGTCCAAACTGTCAGATATATGAGGAACTGGGTGGGAAAAGCATTACCACCAGAAGCCATGGCGTTGGCAGCAAGAAAAGCAGCAAGCCAAGAGTCAAAGGAACAGGCTGGGTGTCCACCTCGCAGTCCGGCCAAGTGTATAAAATGTGGAGGCAGCGTCTTCCATGTGTTCCCAACAGTCCTGGGTGACAGGCAGGTTAACTAAGTATCCCTGTTGTCACAGCTGCCGTGTGTGACAGGAAAGAAGCATCGGAATAGAGTTAGTTGAGGCTGATGTTTCCTGGCTTTCTCTAGCTAAGGCTCCTCAAGAAACCTGACGCCCCAGCCTACGGTCCTCATCCATTCCTCTTAAGGAGTCTCTACCACCTCTTACAGTGTCTGAAGACCAGGCAGAAGTGATGAAGTGATGTAGAGAAAAGTCTGGAAGAGGTAGGGGATGAAAGGGGACTACCGCAGCTGGCCCGTGAAGAATCCAGTGACAGCAGAAACTCTGAGACCTCATTGCTGGAGACTGGGGCACTGGCCTGGAGAATGACCTCAAAAGGCTGGGCCTCTGGGAAAAGCCAATACCGTGTGCCTCCTGATGGGATCTCATATTAAACACACAGAACCACCTAGGAGGTGTTCTTGCCAAGGAAGTTGAAGGTCAATCTAAGTCTCCAGAGTTTAGAGCCAACTTCCACTGACAGAAAATACAGAGGAGAGAGGAACAAGCTTAAGGACACCACAGAAAGTAAAAAAATTTAGAATAGGGGATGTTCTACAGGACAGCTGACTGAGTTTCTTTCAGTATAACTTGCATAATCACACACAGCTTGAAAGGAAAAAATGTAAGTGCCAGAATAATGGTTGCCAGGGCTAGGGGGAGGGGGAAATAGGGAGTTATTGTTTAATGGGTACAGAGTTTTCATTTTGCAAGATAAAAAAATCCTGGGGATCTCTTGCACAATGTGATTATACCTAACAGTACTGAACTGTACACTTAAAAATGCTGAGATGATAAATTTTATATTATGTGTTTTTTATCACAATTTAATGGTAAAGAGGAAAATATAATAAATAAATAAATAGAATAGAATTATGACAAAAATTAAAAATAACATTATTTTAAAATGAGTGCTTCTAAACTTAAAAAAATTAAACCTAGATATAGGAACATACCAAAACAGTTAGACATATTAGAAACTGGGTAGGGAGAGGAGGGAAGTATATCTCTACATTATCCTCAGGGTCACATAAAACATTAAAAAACTGAGAGGAGAATGTGTTAGGTTAACAGAGACTCAAGAGATCAGACAATCAAATGCAATCTGTGGACCATGTTTGGATCCGGATTCAAATGAGCCAACTGCAAAAAATAACCCAGCTTGGAGATGATCAGGGAAATCTGATTATGGCCTGGTTAAAACCCTTTGTTTGAGATGATTTAAAATTTTCCTTTTTGCCCTGGCTGGTTAGCTCAGTTGGTTAGAGCATCATCCCAATATGTCAAGAATGTGGGTTTGATGCCCTGTCAAGGCACATACAAGAATCAACCAATGAATGCACAAATGAGTGAAACAACAAATTGATGTTTTTTCTCTCTCTCTCTTTCTAAAATCAATACATTTTTTTCTTTTTAAGTAGAGGTATGGAGGTTTAACAAAATAGAGGTAAGGTAATTGAAAGAAAATATATTCAGGTAGGATGCAAAAATGGCAAAGGGAGAAATGAAACCACTGAGATTAATAATGATACCATGAAAATAAGGAGATCTCACATGACAGTGATGAGGTAGAAATCATTCTAAAGGCAAGAAGTGGGGTGGTGTAGTGAATATTCATTTGGCTGGTGTAGGCTCTGACAAGTCATATTGGTTCTTAATTTCATGACTTTGGAATCACCCATCATAGATCAACCTCAAAAATTACTGTATGAGGAAAAGCAGGGCAGTGAATAGCAAGAGCAACAAACCACACTCCTGGGAAAGGAATCAGGCCAGGGAATCCAGGCCCAGTGTTTTCTATGGATCCTTGTATTTGACCACCATTCAAGTCAGTGATGGAAAGCCTTTGACACTATAGTGACATGCTATGAAAGAGATTTTTAGTGCAATGAGGACTCCTACCTTTAAAGAGTGAAGTATGTCCAGCATAGGATTAGGATTTTAGGTGAAGTTGGTCTTGCTGATGATGTAAGAGCTCCAGAAGGCAAAAATATTGCCTCCAAATGAAAATTTTAAAAAGGAGAGAAAAGGAAAAGAAGAAGCTCCAACCCCTAAGAGAAGTAACCACAGACAACTACCCCCCAAACCACCCCCAAACCAACACATGATCAGTAACAGCTTTACGATCTAGAAGAAAGGGTTTTGCAAAAATACACTCCCCTGAATTAGTGTCTCCAAAAGTCATCAACTAATTCTAAGTTGTGAGAGAAATGGCTGTCAACACTTCACCCGAAAAGAGTTTTTTTGGGCCCTCTGATACTGTAAGTGCCTCATCTGATTTACTGTGAAACAAGAGCAGTACTTAACAATGAAGGTGCGGTGGTTAGCATAGAACTGTGCCTTTTCTTTAGAGAGGATATGGCAGAAATAAAAAAGAAATGAAAAAAAAACCCACTGTGGATTCAGGTTCCTGCTCCATCACTTACAACCTAGGTCAAATCAACTAACAACTTGGGATTTCAAGTTTGCTTTATCTGTAAAACAGAATAAATATCCTCACTAGGAATACCGAGACATTCCTTAAAAGATCAAATAACATATGTGGCAATGTTTTGTGAATTATGAGGTACTGTGTAAATATATTACTGATTGCATCAGCTTTGTGGATGGATCAGTACAAGTACACTCTGAAAATCTTTTCGCCATGTCCTGTTCTGACACATCCCATGTGGTGGAAATGTGTGTAAACACTTCTATAAAGACTCAGGCAACAGATCACCTGTCTGGAGCCCAACTGCTGGGCTCAAGTTTTTGTGTCAGGACGTCAAAATCAAGGCTCTCTATTCTATGAATACCACCAAAGAAGGATGAACTCTATTAGATTCTTCCCCATGTAACAAAAATATTCTTTGTGAGGTTTTTGGCCTATGTGACTACTGATGCATGTGTGAAACTTCCTTTTGCAAGAAGATTGTTATACATTCTTGCCACCATTCCTTGTTTTTTGACCACACAACGATGAACTTTCAAGTTGTTTACAAAGTATGAGGGCTGGTGGAAAGTGTTCTCACATTCAGAGCACACAGAGGGTCTCTCTCCAGGATGAAGCCAGAAATACTGCAAATGTTCTCTGAAGGTTTCTCCATAGTAATTGCACTAACTGGATTTCTCTTGAGAATGGAGTTGGTAATGTTGAGTGAGTTGTGAGGGTTGGCTGAAACATTTCCCACACAGCTGACACTGGAAGGGCGTCTCTTGTGCATGAATCCGATAGTGTTGAATGAGTTGTGACCTCCGACGGAAGACTCTGCTACAGTCACAACACTGATGGGCTCTCTCTCCAACATAGTCATGTCTTCGCTGATAGCGAATTAAATATGTCTTTTTGCGGGGAAACCCAGGTGGAAGGGCTTTTGCTGACTTGTGATCTTGGAGATGCTGAAAAAGATGGTCATCCTGGATAAAAGCTTTGCCGCACTGGACACATTCGTAGTAGTCCTCCTGACTATGGATTCTCACACGGCCACAGATAGTTACACGCTGAATGAAGGACTTTCCAGGGGACTTGTCACCGGAATGAGCTCCCAGATGTCTGGTGAGGTATGGCATGAGGTAGAGGGTTTCTCCACATTGTTTACCTTCAGAGGGTTTCTTGCCAGTATGGATCCGCTCATGTTTCTTGCAGGCCATTTGGGTACTAAAGGTTCTCTTGCAAAATTCACATCTGTTGATTCTGGGCTCTTGGGAGAAAGGCTTGTTGACCACTGGTGGGGGACTGGTGCAAGTCTCAGGGTCAGTGCATTCCTGGGAATCTGCTCCTGGAGGGCCTGCTGATTGTTTAGTAAGATTTGAACTTCTCTCAAAGTCATCTCTGTCAAGGCTTACTTCTTGAGCGAGGGTCTTGGGCTCACTCACGGTTCCAGAGCTTATAGGTTTCTCCTTGTTGACCTGACACAAATCCAGTGGATCAGCAGGAGAAGACTCTCCTGTGTGTCCTACATGCCAGAAGTTACCTATTTCCAAATCTTCCATTCCTGCCTCCAAGGATGATTTTTCTACAGGCTGGCTTTGCTTTGGAGTTAGATCTTTGGTTTCAGGTCCTCTCTCCCAATCTAAAAGAAACGTAGAAGGTTCTCTACTCTAACTCACATAGATACATCTTTATAGCAGAAACAGAAGAAAGGGACCAAAAATAACAGGATGGATCTTGTGGCAATCGGAAGGGATTTAAATGTTTTGCTAAAAGTTTGTATTTTCTTTTAGGAAAGTAAGAAGCTGGCCAAAAGTCTATGCTTTATAAAGGTAACTCCCTAGGCAGGAAAGAAACTGAAGCCAAAGAAATCAAGAATAGGATTGTAGATTAGAAGAGACAATAATGAACACAGTGGTCATCTCCCAGCAGACACTCAAAATATGTGAGCAGAGTAAGAAAACAGACTAGGAAGTCATCAGGAGAGAGGGGTAGTGACCCAGCACAGTGGATTCAATTTTTAAAAATGGTCTTTAAGAAGCCCTTCCTGACTCCTCTGTTTCCTTGCCCTGCTGTAGGACCAATGTTCCAGCATGTTCTGCTGGTCCTTTTTCAGAGAATATACCACAATCCTGAGCACCTTATGACCACAGCTCCAGCCTCCATCAACTTTGGCCTGGCCAACTTTAGCAGCCTCCCTACTGGTTCCCCTTCTGGTCTTTCTAAAGCCCATTTTCCATAGATCAGCCAGAAAGATCTTTCTAGAAGGGAGCTGCCCAACAGATTGCCCCGGGATAATGTAAATGGACTATATTTTTGCTGTCTGATATAGCAGCCACTGGCCACACGTAGCTAACAAACACTTGAAATGTAGCTGGTACTTGAAAGGAACTAAATTTTATATTTTAGGGAATTATGATTAGTGTAAATTTAAGTAGCCACATGTAGCTCATGGCTGCCACAGCAGATAACACAGTTCCAAGGTGTCAATAATGCTCCCTCATTCCCGAGCTCAAAACCTTCAATACCTTTTTGACATCTCACTTGGAACAAGATCCACATCCTTTACTATAAACCTTCCTGGGCTGGCCCATGACTATTTCTGTGACCTCATCTGTTATCCCCTCCTCTTCACTCAGACCATATCACTCTTCTTCCTGTTTCTAAAACACATAAGCTCATTCTAAACTCAGGGTCTCTGTATTTGCTATTCTCCCCACCTGCAACACTCTTCCTCAAATGACTACCTGACCCCACTTTGTCTCATTCACACTTTGCTCAGTGGGTTTGTTCCTGACTCTCCTACTGTAAACAGCCTCCCAGGTCACTCTGTCTGCTGTACACTCATCTATTACTTGTTTCTTTACCCATAACCAATCACCCTCATTAGACTGCCAGCCCCACAGTCTGCCTTGTTTGTTCCTGTATCCATAGAACCTAGGACGGGGCCTGGCTCACCACAGAGGCTCAATAATTACCTGTGAAATTACTGAAAAAATCAAAGAAAGAATGAACAAATTAGAGTTCCAGCCAAGATGGAGGCCTAGGTAGAAACCCTTTGGTTCCTCACACAACCAAAAGGAGGATAACAACCAATCTAAAAGCAATAAACAACCAATAGAGTCAGAAAATCAAACTGCATGGGACTCCGACAACCAAGGGATTAAAGAAAAAATCAACCAGAACAACCAGACTGGCAGCACCGCAGCCCAGCACAGAGGGTTGCCCTGCTCAGGTGCTACCTAAGGCCCCACCCTCTTATACTTTATCAGCTGCACCAAGACAAAGAAATATGGTCCAAATGAAAGAACACAGCAAACCTCAGAACTAAGTGATGAGGAGACTGCCAACCTATCTGATGGAGAATTTAAAGCCCTGATAATCAAAATGCTCACAGAACTGATTGAACTTAGTCAAAAAAATGAAAGAACAAATGAAAGATAACCAAAATGAAATTAAGCAAAATATTCAGGGAACCAGCAGTGACAAGAAGGAAACTAGGATTCAAAGCAACGATTTGGAACAAGAGGAAGAAATAAACATCCAACTGGATCAGAATGAAGAAACAAAAGTCAAAAAAAAAATGAAAAGAGCCTGAGGATTCTCTGGAACAACCTGAAACATTCCAATACCCGAATTATAGGGGTGCCAGAAAGAGAACAACAACAAGAAATTGAAAACTTATTTGAACAAATAATGAAGGAAAACTTCCCCATCTGGTGAAGAAAATAGACTTCCAAGAAGTCCAGGAAGCCCAGAGAGTCTCAAAGAAGTTTGACCCAAAGAGGAACACACCAAGGCACATCATCATTAAGTTACCCAAGATTAAAGACAAAGAAAAAATCCTAAAGGCAGCAAGAGAAAAGGAGACACTTACCCACAAAGGAATTCCCATAAGGCCATCAGCTGATTTCTAAAAGAAACCTTACAGGCAAGAAGGGGCTAGAAAGAAGTATTTGAAGTCATGAAAGGCAAGGACCTACATCCAAGGTTACTCTATCCAGTGAAGTTTTCATCTAGAATGAAAGGGCAGATAAAGTGCTTCCCAGATAAGGTCAAGTTCAAGGATTTCATCATCACCAAGCCATTATTATATGAAACATTAAAGGGACTTATCTAAGAAAAAGAAGATCAAAAGTATGAACAACAAAATGACAACAAACTCACAACTATTAACAAATGAAACTAAAAGAAAAAAAAAAACTAAGCAAACAACCAGAACAGGAACAGAATCAGAGAAATGGACATCACACAGAGGGAGTTTAGTGGGGAAGGAGAAGGGAAGAGTGGGGAGAAAATATACAGGGAATAAGAAGCATAATTAGTAGGCATAAAATAGATGGGGAGAGATAAAAATGGTATAGGAAACAGGACTCAATGATCTTATATGTACAACCCATGGACATAAACTAAGGAGGGGGGAATGCTGGAGGGTTGGGGGGCAGGGTGAAGAGGAGATAAAGGGGGAAAATTGGGAAAACTGTAATAGCATAATCAATACAAATGAAAGAACAAATACTTAAACAAAAGAATGAACAAATTAGAGAAAAGATGAGAAGATAATGAATGAAACAGAGAGGCAGGTAGAGGAGTCCCCTTGGCCATTCCTGAATTTTTGTTTGGGTTCCCATTTCTCCACCCACCCAGGAAAAGGCAGGAGTGTTGTGTTGACTAGCACCACAACAGGCACAGCTCCAGGTTCAGGAGTGGGATGTGGCTCAACATGGAACACTGAGAAATGAGGAGGGTGTGTCAATAGCTTCTCAGGAAGCTGTGTAAAAAAGCTTCCTCACTCTTAGAAGGCTTCTTGGACACGTGCTCTCTCATCCTCTCTTTGGATGGGAACAAAAAGTACAGTGAGGATTTGTTTGCAGAGTGAAAACAGAAAATGAAACTATATCTGATAACCTGATAATACCACAGAGTCTCTAAATCTAACCATCCCTGAAGGGGCCAGCATTGAAGCTAACAATCTCTCCATTCACACCAGTTTGGGTTTACTTTTCTGTTAACAGCAACTGAAGGATAATTATGATTCTGGTTGACACACATGAGGAAGGACCCAACTCAAAGGAGAGGATTTCATAAAAATGGTAAACATTATCACACTACAGCCATAGAGTTTGGAGAAGGCAAAGTCTAGAAGGCTCTTGTCCTCATTAGGGACCTTTAGGGGAAGTTGTACAGCAAGTGAGAGGGAGGGAGAGAGGGATGGTAGAGGCAGGAGATGGAAAGTAGGTTGTGGGGTGAAGGAGGGGAGAGGGAAGGGAGCCTGTGAGTGTCAACAAGTTTGAGGAGCTGGAAGCAGCAGTATCACACCATAGTTTCTGGCTGGTCTCAGTTAAAAAGGAAAGACCTATGATTTCTAGTTGCAAGAACAAAGGCACAGATGAATGGAGGGCTTGGGGCACTAGAGAAAATGGAAACTGACCTCCCTGGAGCTGGGCAGGGTGGAACTCATGCTGCAAGAAGAGATGAGCTTCGGAAATGGGAGGAAAGGAAGTACTAAGCAGGCACAAGGCGGTGATGCCTCTGGGGAGGAGAGCTACTACCAGCCTTCTTCCTGATCTGAGTGGGTTTTAAAAAATGTTTCCTCACTAACAGCACCCAGCCCCTCCCCGGACTGACTGGGGGTGTTGTGGTCCTCTCACTTCAGTCTCCACAGGCGTACCCCATCCTACTCACCTTGACCTGTCTTTGTAGCACTTTCTTCCTGCATCCCACATGACTCCTCCTCCTCCAGCTGTGAAATGATATCCGGTTTAGAGAACTGGTACCCTGAAGAAGAAAAAGGCCTGTGACTTGGGGGCTCTGTCCTAAACCCACAGCACTTCCCAGCCTGGGCTCTAAAGGCGGTGATGATAAGGAAGGTGCAAATTCACACAGGAGAAAAGGAAGCCTGTTTCTAACAAGTGTGTCCCCAGGAGACCTTTGGCAACATTTGGGGACATTTTCGTTGTCACAGCTTTGGGGGAAGGAAGGGGTGCTTTTGGCATCTAGTAGGTAGAGGCCAGGGCTTTTGCTCAACGTCCTGCAGTGCACAGGATGCCCCCACAACACAGAATGACTTGGCCCAAATGTAAACAGTGCCAAGGTGGACACTCTGATCTAGAGTAAAAACTCAAAAGGAGGCTTGAAGGCAGTATGCCAGCTCGCTACTTCAGCTCAGGGATCTGATGTTGGTTGGAGCTGCTCAGAAGGGAACAATGTAGGGTTCTTTTCCTCCTGTGATAACCTTCATTACCTGGGTGATATAATGCTTTCTCCAATCCTGCCCTCCGTTCCACCACTACTTCTGTGTTTCTATGAACTCCCACCATTTGAATACCACCTACTACAGTCCGAATGTTGGTGCCCTCCTCCCCACCCGCCAAACTTCATATGTTGAACTCCTAATCTCCAGTGTGCTGGTATTGGGAGATGGAGCCTTTAAGAGGTTCTTAGGTTGTGAGGGTGAAGCCCTCATGAATGAGATTAGTGCTCTTATAAGAGGTCTCAGAGGGCTCCCTACTCGCTTCTAGCATGTGAGGACACAATGAGATGCCTGTGACCTGGAGGATAGTCCGAGAGGAGTCTCTTTCTCACAAGTGACTGAAGGACTACTTCATGCTGTCCATGTACCACCTAGAACAATCTTCACTATAACCCACTGTACTCACACCACCCTTAGGAAGGCAATGTCCTGGGTAATACTAACCCCAAGCTTTTAGCAATGCAAGAAGCCAGAAATGGCTCCAGGTCACTACATGAAGGCTAAAGATAAAACGGATTTATTCTGTCTATGTGAAGTCATAAATGTGGTAACTGAGAGAAGAGTTGTGTTGGAAAAGGCACTCCATCATGCCTTTTTTGTGTGACAAATAACGGTTCAAATTACACACACTGGTGGCAGGTGTGAGGGAAGGCGCTTCTCTCTCCCCACGTAGGTCTATGACTTCGCAAGCATAAGAGCACCATCCTACTCTCAGTGGAATGGTGGCTGGACTTGATTTTGTTTCTCAGAAGAACTGAGGCCTGCCACCCCAAAGCCACTGAAAAGAGGAGGATCCTGGCCTTGGCAACAAAAACATTTAGCTTGTGGGGAGAGGTAAACAACCTTGCCTTTGGATGTGAAAGAGACTGGCAACCTCTGACTCTTTTCACATCAAGGCTAGTAGAGGCTTTTGGAGCTTCTGGAATTTTCGGCAATTCCTTCACCCACTTTAAAAACATCACTGTGAGCCCTAGCAGCCAGGAGAGTGGACTAGAATATGTATGCCTGAACAATGACGACTTCACTGTACTAGTCAGTGGGGGCAGTAGACACCATTGAGTGAGCATGTGTACCGTATGGCTATCTCATTCAAAATGACTGAGCAAGTACAGCAACGAATCCGCATCAAATTTTGCGTTAAGTTCGAATATTCCTCCACAGAAACTATTCAGATGACTCACATAAAAGGCCACAGCTATGGGCAGCTTGGTGACTAGCAGCTTCATCACAACCATGAGCCTGCTCACGCCTCACGTCTTATGCAGAGTTTTTTGGTGAAACATCAAATCGCCCATGTGACTCAGCCCCTCCATAACCTACATTTGGCCCCTAGCAACTTCTGGCTTTTCCCAAAACTAAAATCAGCTTTGAAAGGGAAGAGACTTCAGACCATCAATGAGATTTAGGAAAACATGATAGGGCAGCTGATGGTGACTGGGAGAACTGTGTGAGGTCCCAAGGTGCCTACTTTGCAGGGGACTGAGGGGTCACTGTCCTATGTACAATGTTTCTTGTATCTTCTTCAATAAATGTATCTGTGTTTCATATTACATGGCTGGATACTTTCTGGACAGGCCTCTGATCTGGGTTGAGACTCACTGACATGGTGAACCACTATGACTCATGGGAGGACATAAAAGAGTTGAGAACTGTGCCCTAGTACCATAGAGAAGGCGGACTCACCTACAGAGACCAGGTTCTGGTAATTCTCCAGTGTCACCTCTCGGTGGAGTTTCCTCTCAACAGCAGTAAGAGAGGTCAGTTCATCCAGGCTGAAGTCCACAAACACATCCTGGAAAGTCACCAACTCCTAAAACAACAAAAACGATCACAAATGCTCAGAATCCAGAAATTATCCCAGAAAGTGGGAATGGAGCCTGGTGAGAGACAACCGAACATGAAGCTGACATTCAGACCAGCAGGAAGCTTCTAATCCAAGGGTTCTAACCTGGAGGTTACATGGACCTGGCAATGTACCTTTATCTTGTAGCCCAAGAGAAGGCAGGACATTTTTAAGACAGCTCCTGTGGCCAGTTACTCTAAATTTTGCTTGGAGGAATACCTCAGCCTCAGGAATCAGAGAGAGCTGAGTTGAAATTCTAGCTCTGGTTCTTTCACATAAACTTTGTAAGTGTGAATTAGGTTAAGTTACAGTGACTGATCCATAACATACAAAGAGTTCATAAATATGAAGGGCTAGTCAACCTTATTAATAAAGGGAAATGCAAATCACCATAACACAGTACCATTTTACACCCTGACACTCAACTGACAGAAATTAGGAAGTCTGACAGTACCAAATATCTAGAACATGGACCCCCAGGACCTCTTATAAAATGCTAAGGGAGCCCTGGCCAGGTAGCTCAGGTGCTTAGAGCATCCTCCCAATACACCAAGGTTGTGGGTGTGATCCCAGGTCAGGGCACATACAAGAATCCACCAATAAATGCATAAATAAGTGGAACACCAAATCAATGTTTTCTCTCCCTCTCTCAAATCAATAAATTTAAAAAAATGAAAAACTAAAGAAAAAGATGCTAAGGGAAATGAAAATTGGTAAGCCACTTTGGACCCCAAAATTCTATTCTTAGGTATACTTACTCATGTGTACTTAGAGACAGATATGTTTGAAACAATGCTATTTGTAACATTCAAAACTTGGAAATAATCCAAACATCTACTTATAGAAGAGAAATATATTTTAATATAGTTGCACAATGGAATAATATTCTAGGATTACAAACTAATTAACTACAGTTCCACACAACAGTCTGAGTAACCTAAGGTTGAATTTGAAAAGCAGATATTAAAAGATTACATAAGACTTGTGATACCCATTTTATTAATCATCATTTGTGTTTTCAGGGAAACATTATGCAAATCAGTGAGCATCTGATTTACACTAGAGGCCGTGCACTGGCTGCCCAGCTCCTACTGAGGGTTTATTTGGCTTACACAGGTTTTTTTAATCTTTAAAAAAATTATATTAGCTGAAAGACAAATACCATATGATCTCACTTATATATGGAATCTAATTAACAAAATTAACTGATGAACAAAACAGAACCAGAGGCAGGTATACATGGAACAGATTAACAGCTGTCAGAGAGGAGGCAGGAGGGGGTACTTGATGGACAAAGGTGAAGGGATTAGCCAAAGAACATATATGCACGACCCATAGACACAAACAACAGTGAGGAGATGGCCAGAGAGAAGTGGGGTGGGGGAGAGGTGGAGGTGGACAAAGGGGGGAAAATGGGGACATTGTTTATAGCTTAAATAATAAAAATAAAGTACAAAAATTTGTATTAGCTACCACCACAAAAAAATTTTGTAGATTTCATATTAATTGGGGTTTTGGCTTCCCTTTACAAAATCAGAAGACCTGGGTCTACACTCTCACATGGAACCATCTGTTGAAGCTGAGTTACAGCTGCCCTTTGGTGGGGCAGGCACTCCCCAGTTTGTTACAGTCCACCCATTTATAAATTCCTTGTTTATATTACTTCAGCAGCTCCTGTGGGCATCTCCACTTGGGATCCCTGAAATGGACGCTATAGGAACAGAGGGCTATTCTCAGGATCATATCTCCTGGAACAGTGATTCTCTCCCTTTTTTTCCTTATCTCTCCTTCAGGGATCATTCTTACAAAACTTTTTTCCTAATCACCACCCCCCCCCCAAATTATTTCTGGTTCTAAAGGAAGAGCAATGTGTTAATTTCATTAATTGTCTTTGAGGTTTCAAAATGTGATTGAACAAGCCCTGGCAGGGTGGCTCAGTTAGCTGGAGTGTCATCCTGAACACCAAAAGGTTGCAGGTTCAATCCCCAGTCAGGGCCCATACCTACACTGTAGGTTCAATCCCTGGTTGGGGCCTGTATGGGAGGCAAATGATCAGTGTTTCTCTCTGTCCCTTACTCTGTCTAAATTCAATAAACATGTTCTTGGGTGAGGATTTTTTAAAAAATGTGATTGAACAAGAACATTAAGGAGTGTATTTTTGAAAAAAAGAAAACCTCATATCAGTATCACATGCCTGTAGGAGCTGCCATTTGTTTCATATGTAAGCATGAGCATAATAATAGTGCAAACCACAAGGGTTGATTTGAATAAGCCAACAGTAAAGATAAAATAAAAAGCCCTGGCTGGTGTAGCTGTGAATTGAGCGCAGGCCTGAGAACCAAAGGATCATGGTTCCATTCCCAGTCAGGGCACATGCCTGGGTTGCAGGCCAATTCCCAGGGCGGGGAATGCATGAGAGGCAACCACACATTGATGTTTCTCTCTCTCCCTCTCTCCTTCTCTTCCCCTCTAAAGATAAAGAAATAAAATATTTTTTAAAAAGATAAAATAAAATACTAAAACAAATAATTAATTCAAGTGGTAAGAGGGGGGAAAATGTTAATATAGTGTGGGGGATAGTGGTAAGTACAACAGAGGGGGAAAAAAGCCACAAAGAGGCATACAAGAATAAGAAGATTTTTACATAGGGTAGCCAGGGAAAGGCACGGTGACATAATATTTATGTGAAAACTTAAAGAAAATGGTGTGGTTCAATTAGACAGAGAAGGCCCAGAAGTCAGAAAGGCAAGAGCCTCACATTAGAGAACCAGGTTGGAAGAAAGCCTGACTCACCTGGGTTCCAACAGATGGCAAAGTGTTAGAAACGTTTGTGTCTTCCTTTTTTGGTTCTTTGGTGTCCCTCTCTTCCAGAACGACAGAGTTCTTACCAGGGTAATCTAGAAGGAGAAAGGAATGACCACAGAATTGAGTCTGGCCTGGCAGCACCCACAGACCGAGAGAGGGACCTGCCACTCCCACAGCATCCTATGCTGAGTCGGTGGCAGTCCTGGACTTCCTATGATGACAGAAAGACCATGGAAATTATTTCCCAACTTTACCCCCTTCGATGGTTCCCCAGTGCCTTCCAAATAAAGTGGAAGTTCCCTCTATGTCAGCCGTTCCCAGTGTCACTGTACACTCAGAATCACCAGGGAACTTGTTTCTCAACTGTAAAATGTAAATACTTATACTTCTAAAGCCTCTCGTAAGGATTAAACATTACAAATGTAAAGTACGCCATAGGCATGAAACACCATGGCGGCTCTTACTAAGCTTTCTCTGTATCTTTTTATTCACTGATCTAGAAGGCAGTCACTAACTTCCTTGCAGAAACCTGAACCGTGAAGGTCTTCCTTGCCTATATTGTCTTTCCAAGTGCACTTTCCATTGATCTGCTGTTTCTCCTACCCCAGGGAGCTCTCTTTCCTTTCCCAAGAATTCAGCTCCATCAATAAACAGCACAGGCCTTCTGCCGACTTTTTCACCCTCTTGGACAATATTCCCTATGTCCACCAGAGGCAGTGTGACCCTGTGATTAAAAGTACAGAGGCAGGAGCCTGCTGGAATCCTGCCAGTTACTAATCTTGGAACAAGTTACTCAACTTCATGTCTCCTCGTCTATTAAACAGGCGTAATACCTATAGTTCACTATCAGTATCTTCAAAATTCCTTTATGAGAATGCAATGCACAGAAACTGGATTAATCATAATCCTTTATTTCATGATATATCAGCATTGACTGTCATATTTATTTTAAATTTATTCATTTATTATTTAATTATAAGACCTATGAATCCACTACCCAAACCCAAAATGAGAATATTTCCATTTAACTTACATCTACCCAATTACTTTTTCCTATCCACATCCCAGCCTTATGTCCAGAGATAGCTATAATCTTGAAATCATATTTATTGTTCCCTTGCCTCTCTCTCTCTCTCATACATATATAGTTAATATATGTTACATATTATACATTATTGCAATGACGTGTGTATATATACACATATATGACATATGTGTATAACATATGCAACATATATCTACATAGATCTCCAAATAATTTTAATTAGTGTCAATCTTATTCAAATGACTGAGGAGTAAATGGCATTCTTTTCTCATTATTGAAATGGCCTTAGTTCTAATCTAGTAACTTGAGTTTTCAAGATATCAATCAAATTTTAGCAGAGATTTAACTTCTAGGACTCGTGTTTCCCACATTTTATGCCCTGTTTTTTGGTTTTTTTTTTAGCTGGGTGTGTTGTTCCGTTTTGTGGTGACACTGAAGTTTAGGCTGGATAAGAAATGTGGGGTAAGGAGGACAAAGCTGGAGAAAGGGGCACTCTCAGGGGAATAACAAATATTAAAAGCAAAATGCAAACGCCCAAATTTCTTCCATGTTGCTCAAGGCAGATTAGAATTATTATAAAACTTATCCTTTCACTCATTCAACACGTTTTTATTCAGCTCCTATTACACACCAGGCACACAGCAGATGTTCCATAAATTGAATGGCTAGTGGCTTCCTTCCTCTCTTACCTTCCTCCTCACATGCTCGGATCAAGTTTGCCACTAGGGTTCCTGCCTCCTTGCTGTTCTTGGGTCGTTTGGATCTCACCCATGTCTGAACCTCCACAGGCAGGGTGTTCAGAAACTGCTCCAGCACTAGTAGCTCCATCATCTGCTCCTTGCTGTGAATCTCCGGCTGCAACCACTGACAACAGAGCTCCCGGATTTGGCTCACGGCTTTGTGAGGCCCAGTCACTGATAGGGCCTGAAAATGCCTAAACTTCTCATGAGAAATTTTCAGAACTGCTGGGTTCCTTATGGGAATGGTTTCTGGATTATGCATATAAAAGAGATGAGGCTTCCTCAAGATATCCAAACCCTGTGTCACGTGTGACATCTTTATAGCTTGGCCCTTAGCAGAATGGAGATACTTGAAAAGGCAGGCTGCTCCAGAACACACTGTTTTGGAAGATTTGTATCAGATGAAGAAAGGATACAGAACCTCAGGACCTGCAGAAATTACATAGAGAGACAAATGACCTGACTTCACTTAGCATAATGCTCTCTAGTTCAATAGGCATTGAACTTGAGAGCTCCTTCTTTTTTGCTGCTGCATAGTATTCCATTGTGTAAATGTACCACAGTTTTTTGATCCACTCATTTCCTGATGGGCACCTAGGCTGCTTCCAGCACGTGGCTAAGTGGGGTGCAGGTGATTTGAGACAAAAGGAGTTCACTCATTTCACACAACCCATATTTACAGAGATTTGCACATCTACAGATATCGTGTTTTCTCAGTCCCATTCCCAGCTCCAGAAAATCCACAAGCACAGGCTCGAAACATTTAAGAAAGGGCAATGAAGAAAAAAGAGACTTGAATCCCAAACTACAATGAACTGAGCTAATCTGATGAGCCGCAAAAGAATTTCATTTCAAAATACAATGTAGAACAACTATGTATTATGAAACGATGCTCAGCATTGCTAGCCATTAGAGAGATGCAAATTACAATCACAATGAGATACCACTTCACACTGGTCAGAATGGCCAATATAAATAAATCAACAAATAAGTGTTGGCAAGGTTGTGGAACCCTAGTGTACTGTCGGTGGGAATGAAGACTGGTGTACTCACTTTGAAAAACAGTATGGAATTTCCTCAAAAACCTAAAAATGGAATTGCCTTTTGACCTAGCAATTCCACTGCTGCAATTATATCCTAAGAATCCTAAAATACTAATTCAAAAGAATGTATGCACCCCAATGTTCATAGCAGTGGGTTCACAATTTACAATAGCCAAGTGCTGGAAGCAACCTAGGTGCCCATCAGGAAATGAGTGGATCAAAAAACTGTGGTACATTTACACAACAGAATACTATACAACAGAAAGAAAGAAGGATCTCTCAAGTTCAATGCCTATTGAACTTGAGAGCATTATGGTAAGCCAAGTAAGACAGGCAGTGAAAGGCAAATACCATATGATCTCACCTATCAGTGGAACCTAATTAACAAAACAAATAAGCATGCAAAATATAACCAAAGACATTGAAATTAAGAACAAACTGACAGTAATAAGAGGGGAGGGGAGAGAAAAATAATGGGGGAAAGAAGGGAAAGGGTCATCAAAGAACGTGTATAAAGGACCCGTGGGCAAAGCCGAAGAGGGGATAGGATTGAGAGTGGAAGGTGAAGTGGGTGGGTTGGGGAAAGTGGTGTTGGGAAAATGGAGACAACTGTATTCAAATATTAATAAAAATGATTTAAAAATAAAAATAAGAAACCAGAAAAATATAATAAAACAACTATGTATTATTATACAGGATAAGAAAAGATCCTTACCACACATACATCCTACAAAGGACTGGATTCATATGCAAAATATATAAAGTACATGCAAATCAGTGAGAAAGAAACAGACAAAATAAGAGCAAAAAGTTCAAAGATTTGAGCAAGTACTGCAAAAAGGAGATAGCTAAATGGCCAATGGACATATGAAACAGGACTCAGCTTCATTAGTTATCAGAGAAATATGAATTAAATCCCCAAGAAGCTATCATTACACACCCTCCTGAATGTTTAAAATGAAAAAGGCCAGACAATAATAAGTGTTTGAGAAGAGACAGAACCACAGTAGATTGACATATGCAAGCACTGGAAGTCAAAACAATTGAAAACATGGATGTATGTTGCTATTGGAGTTAAAGAAACCAAGGTTAAAAAAAAAAGGCCACATTCAATGATTCCATTTATGTAATGGTCAAAACCAGGCAAAATCGATTCTAAAGTGTTCGAACTCAAAATAGCTTACTGCTGGGACTGGGGGCAGCAGTAGTAATGCCTGGGAGGAGAGAGTGTAAGGGGCATCTGAAAAACTAGTTATGTTTTATTTCTTAATCTATGAGCTCATGACATAGACGCAGTATGTTTGTTTGTGAAAACTGTATGTTGCTTTGTGAAAACTGAGTTCTATACTTAGGATTTGTCACCTGTTCTCTATGTATATTTCACTAAAAATTTGGCTGTTATAGTTGTGGGGAAACATCTAGGTTATAGTAGTAACTGAAAAAAAGCAGGAAACAAATTTGTATATAGACTATATTCTTAACCATCTAAACCACAGGAAAAGACACTGAAAAGTAAACCAAAACTCTGCACCAGGTTTTATGTATGAGCAGTGAATTTATAAGGGATTTTTACAAAGGATTTTGTACCCTCCCTTAAAACTTTTTAAGTTCTACAATGAACCTTCATTCCTTCTACCTTCATTTTTTTCTTAATCAGGAAAATTAAAAATATTTTAGTATTCTGTAAAAGCTACATTCATTCTATAAAACCATAAGCAAAATTGCCATTTTTTTCTTTTCTACTCCCCACTGAAACATATATCTGTTATTTCTATGACATAATTTAATCATTTCTGTTTGAAGGTATTTTTGTTCTTCAGTATTAGAAATTATAAAGTAGTGAATATCACTGAAACAAAGTGTGTAATTGTCCACATCCCTGATACTTCCCTTCCAGGATTGACTCCTCAAAGTGAAATGATCTAGACAAAGGGTATAAACATTTTTAAATTTTCCTTTTTAAAAAATTTTATTACTTTTTAAATAAATTGAGGTATAATAGACATATAATATTAGTTTAAGGTGTACTATGTAATCACTCAATATATGTATATATGCCCTTATTTTGAAAGACAATTTTACTAGATATATTATTGTAGATTGACACTTTTTCTCAGCAAAGTGTCTTTTCCCATTTTCTCTATTATCACATTATGGAGCTTTCACAGATATCCATGTTCTCTTCTATGTCTCCATGCTTCTATTTAATAATTTGCCATACTTTCATCTTTTCACACTGCATTATATATAACTTATTAATATTATTTTCTAGTTCACTAATTCTTTCTCTAGCTGTATATATTACATTTCAGTGGCTCCACTTTTCATTTCTACAAGCTTTATTTGGTTCTTTATCTAATCAGGCTAATACTTTTTAGTAGTCTGTTTTTTCCTGAAAAAAATCCCTTCAAATACAGCTTCACATTTTTTAGACTTAATATATTTATTTTGTATTCTATTTCAATAATTGCAATATTTGAAGTCTGCAGGTCTGGTTCTATTGCTTGTTGTTTTAAAAATTTCTTAAAACAACATGCCAAATTTTCTTCCCAAAGGCTTCCACCATTTCCTCTTCCAATCTCAATATATAAGACTATACATCCACCTTCAGGTAAATGGGGTCAGCTTCATTGGTGTATGAAGTGCAGACTCTATGCTCAGAAAGGCCTCAAGCTTAGTTTAATGCTCTGCTGTTGTTGTTTTGAGATTCTTGGTATTTTACTGGCCAATTATAAATTGTTCCTACCCTTTCCCCACTAGGGTGTTTCAGTTACTGATTGGTAAAGGCTCTATATAAATAAAGAGTATTTCTTGTCCTATTTGCTTAAAAAAATGCAGCCATGCAACACATTCTCTTAAGTCTTTGTACAATGAAAACAATTTAAAGTACAACTTAACACTATCCATTCAGAGACCTATTAAATATTCAATTATATTTTTATTGCTTTATTAGAGCATTTTACTTTAATTATTTGTTGGAATCTAGTCTGTGGTAGGGTGTGAGAAGAGAACATATTTTTTCTAAAAACTCTCCTGCCACTACCAATCATAAATTTACTATCTCTTTCTTCTTAAGATAATGGCACCCTTTAGAATTGAGTTTCTAGGTCTGTGGCCTCCAGGGAAGAATCCTGAGAAAGTGATAGTGGAAATGACTCTGAAGTCTTGCCAGCCTGCCTCCCTAGACTAGCCAGGTCCAAGGTCAGAGTAGGGAGAATTCTTTCTGGCCTGGAGAGGGAAAGTACGATCCTGACCAGTCAACAGCCTTCCAGAAAGGAAGTTCATGGCCCTATCTTCCCTGAGGGCACTATCAGCACCCCTCCATATCTTTTTTTCATAAATTCTTAACTGTTGGCTTCCTTTATGTTTTAAACTTTTGAATCTCAGCAAGAGAGAGAGAGAGCAAAGCAAGGCAGGGCAGAGTGCAGACGCAAAGCAGAGGAATGGGGTGAGAGAAAGAGAAGGAAAGAGCAGGAAAGAGGGATGGGGCTGCGACAGGAGGGGTGTGGCCAATGGAAAGACACAGAGAGGGACCAACTGAGGTACATGAGGAGGAGGAAGGGAAGGAAGGGGAGGAGCTCAGGGAGAAGAAGGGGTGCACAGACATGACAGAGGGGAAGGACACACAGAGGAGTGGTGGGACAGACAGAAGAGAAGGAACAGGGTTTAGGGAGAAGAAACTGGGCCACGGGGAGAGACAGGGAAGGCTGGACATGAGGGACAGGGTGGAAGAGGGAGGGACAGGGTGGAAGAGGGAGGGACAAAGCAGAGAAGAGAAACCACAGGACCAGGTACTAGATGATACTAGGCTTAGGGGGTGATCCCTTCCTCAGTTAGATAAATGCCTGATCACTGTGGTACACCTGACACTAGTGCAATATTGTATGTAGCTGTAACTGAAAAATAAATTTAAAGAAATTTTTAAGTAGGTAGTAAGTTTTTACCAGAGGAGCATAAACGGCAGGTGCTGGCGGAGAAGAGGCAGGGCCGTAGGGGGGGTAGGACGGGCGGGGGAGGGGCAGCAGGAGGGGTGAGGCTGGGAGAGGAGGTGGAACCGCTCGGACAGAAAGACGGAGCTGGACTCAGAGGGTCCGAGTCCGGCCCGGGGGTCTGGTGGTCGGGAGTACGAGCGATGAACCTGAGCGGTGAACCTGAGTCACCCGGGCCTCGGAGCTGAGGTGGGGCATGAGGGGAGCAGAGGTTGCCCGGGCGCACCCTATCGCTTCAGCTCCCCATTCTCCGCAGTCCCCACATTCGAGCTGGGGCAGCCCCT